AAAAGTATTGGGGTATTCAATCGAGACTTTTATAAACTTTTAAAAAGTCTTAAAAAGTCATGGTGTATTCAATTAAAATTTTTTAAAACCTTCAGGGGTTGCTCAATTGGTCAGATCTTGGATTTGCTTCCCAGTGGTCACCAGTTTAAGTTCCTTCAGGACTATTGAGGTGAGTACCCGACTGTAAACCTCGTGGGATTAGTCGAAGTGTGCGCAAGTTGGTTCAGACATCAACGGTTATCAAAAAAATAAAAATTTAAACTTTTTAGAAGTATCTATAAGTCTTGAGGTAGTCAAATTTTTATAACTTCTAGAAACTTTTATAAAAGTTTCCATTATTTAATTTTTAAAACATTTTTTATGGGGAAGGGAAGGAGAAGGGGGTTGAGAACCACCACAGTGATAATTTCACATTGCACTATATCCAAGTAAATTCTATTTCAAAAAAGTCTTGAATTCTACAAAAGACTATAAAAATTTCAAAATGAAAGTTTATAAAAGTCTACAAAAACTTCCACCAATTCCGTAGAACTCTCTGAAAAATCCACGAAATCCACAGAAATCGTCACTTTAAAAAAGGTACATCAAAATCTTCAAAGGCCCCTATTGAATACACACCCTAAAACAATCATAATCACTATAGACCGAGAAACCCTAAGCAAGAACAAAGTTAGGGGAAAATAGGTAAACTAAAAATTCGAGGGCCAGAATAATCAATTTTAATGAAAGAGGGTGAAACGGTTACCAAAATGAGATCAAAAAGAGTGCTTTGATCGACTTTCACAAAGTCGGCATCGAATGTCTTAAGGTCCTCATCAGCTACCCTATCGGCAGTTGCAGGCGTGCCATCAGCGGCGGCGTCAACGTGGCGCTTACAGTACTCAATGACTTTAGCCAAGATCTTGGAGGTAACGTTGGGGAGAGGTATACTGGTGTCGGCGCAACCATCCTCGATCATGTGTTTGATGGTCTGCGACTCTACCGCCACCTTCTCCTCCACCTCGAACGTCTCTCCATCTGAACTTTTTAGCACTATCATCTTCTGAGTTACGTCAGTGGGCGACATTACTTAGATCAATCGGAAAATCCCAAACCTAGATAGAGAACGGGTGATGCAGAGAAAAGATTGATAAAAAAAATTGAAAGCTGTTGGAGTGGGTATTTATACCTGGTGGGAGCAGTGTCTTAATCCGGTGGGTTACTAGGCCCCAAGTTGATTAAATATTAAGTTAAAATAATAATTTATTTAGGCACCGTTTGGTAACCATTATTCCAGAAAAGAATGCATTTTTTATGTCAAATCACGCCTTTTTTGTGGTTGAAAATGAAGGAAAAGTTATTGATGTGATAGAAAATATTATTTTATTGA